TTGCAGTCTTTATCTTGTAAATGGGAAAGCTGAGGCTCAGAGAACTTCATTGATTCTACCACATTTCTGCTGATAACACATAGTAGACCTCGAGTCTGACACATGATCTTTTTGGTTTTTCCACTGGACTGTGCCCTCCCAATAAGAACATTTCTCTTCTTTCTGAGGCTTTGTTTTTCTACTTCTGTTTTATTAAGATGACTGTGTTGATAATAAACTACATCAAACTCTAGTTGGCAAGAACCAAGGAATAAATAAATAAATTTAGATGCTAATTACTTAAGAGTAAATGAATTATAGAGGAAGACGTGGGCCTGAGAGCCCTGAGACGCCCTCAGCCCCGCTGTCGGGAGGCTCAGTGCCACTGCTGCCACTTGTCTGAGTGAGCCTGTCAAACGATCATCCTCTCTGTTAAAAGCAGGAAATATGACTGGGCCACGTCTTCCCCTCCTTTTGCATGATCCATATTCTGCTTGTAATACCGTTGTCAGCTTCCTTTTCATCCCAGCCATCCATCATCACTAACCATTTTCTCTGGTGCCTCTCACCTGCCTCGGCAGCCCAGATTAGGCTGTGAGTATAATGAGTGGAGGGGAGGGAGAAGCCCTGCCCGCTGGAGCCCTGCTCGGCACTGAACAACCTGTCCCATAAGAGCATTCTTGACAGCAGCTCCCAGGTTGCTTGATTATGGCGAGTGAGGCATGGTGCGTTCTGCCTCTCTCCCAGAATACGGAAATGCTGGAAGGGATCTCGGGGGCAGAGCCTCACAGACTGTGCAGTCTTTGGCCACGGCCTTTGCTTTTGCTTTTGATGGCTTTATTTTCAAGAATATGTTCGCCCAGTCGATGCTGTTTATTAGAAATTTAGTAACTTAGACTTGGACTTCTAGTCTAGGAAGAGGTGGTCACGGCAAATCCAGTGTAGATGGCACTTGGAAATGGTACCGGAAGAGGAGACAAGGTTCCTGTAGGTGGAATTTTACTTGGAGCTGGGCTAGAGAGGGTAGTCTCTCTTTTTTTTTAGGTTTCTGCACAAATTTGCGTTTTATTTCGTTTAACCCCTGCTATGTGAGCCAGGAATTGTCTTCCTGTAGCTAGCAGGGGCTTAAGAACACGTGACACTGTTACTTAGCCTGATGACTGTCACCTGCCTCTTCTTCATAGCCACGTCTTCCTCTCGCTGACATCTCCAGTGGCTTCTGTGCTTTATTTTTGATATTGTACCTTATCTTTTTACCCTGTATTATCGATACCAACAAATGTTTGTTAAGCATACCTACTACATGCAACTGTTTGGAGATACAGAGAATTGGTTACATTTGTTAGGTTTTGAGTGTTTACAAAGGACTTTCCTAAGTGCTTTCTTACCTAAAGCTAATAGCATTCTATAATAATAAAAAATTAGAGCTTCCTTTGTTTCTTTCTTCCCTCAGCCAATCCAGGCTTTATCACCACTTTCCCGGAACTGGCATTCCAGGTAGTGGAAAGGTTACATAAGCATGAGAAAACCAATGACAACAACAGAAGTGACCTATGTTAAGGTACTTAATGGGTCATTTTATGGACACGCACGCACGCATGCACGGATCCGACTCATAGCGACCCCTCCTTGGGTTTCTGAGATGGTATCACTACGGAAGTAGATTGCCCAGTCTTCTTCCGAGGAGTGGCTGGTGGTTTGAACCACCAGCCTTCTGGTTAGCAGTCACATGCCTTAGGCACTACACCACCAGAGCTCTTATTGTATGGACAGTCTCTGTAAAAGGCATTGTGGACATTGAGCAAGGTACCTTGGACAGTTCATAGGTAGACCTGGCCCTACATGAGTAGTATGAGGAGAAGGGTTCTCGAGATGGAAGCCCAGTTACGCCAAAGGCATCGAGGTGGGGTTGCACGCAATGTACTTCCTATGCCTGGAGATACCAGTTTGACTGGGGTACGTTGATCAGGTCTCTGTTGATTTACTGAGAACCTAAAATCATGGACCTTCATTCAGCATAGAAACCCATGGAGATATCAAGTCCAGCTCACTTATGGCTTTAAGTGATACGCTTAAACTGTATTCTTATTTAAGTACCTTGATTCCTCACATAGAAATTATTGTCTTGCTTCTGAGGCAGAGTATAACCTGGCTTCTCCTACACAAACACACACACATTTCCTTGGTGATGCAATTCTGACTATGTTTCATGATCTTAGAAGAGGTGTTAGTAAAGAAGAGCCTTCATTCTTTTTCCTGTTTGTAACTGTACCATCTGAGCCACCGAAGAAGATTTTTATGAACGGAGAGGTGTTTGTGTCAGCCTTGTTCCTCTCCTTGGAAATCAGCAAGACCACTGGCTTAGCAGACATACCTCTGATGCAAATAGAGTAATAAAAGGATGGATTTCTTTTCTCAACTGAGGAAAAACAAATTCATGATTTTTAATCAAGAGCTGTACATGCCGTTATATTTACTTTTTGTTCTTAAGGAAAACTGTGCTCTGATTAGTGAGTAAAACAAACTGATCCAAGAGGCATTTGTCTAGACTCTAATGCCTCTGGGAGGTCTTGATGATCCACAGTATGGATTTCTGAAGCTTCACATGTTTTTATCCATCAATTTCCACAGGCCCTCAGAAACCATTAAGACAGATAATAATTCCAGGTGAGATTTAGTTGTGTTTGGTATTATGTAAAGAACTATAATCGAAAGAAAATGTTTAAGTTAGAAAAAAAGAGATGAAATACTACATGTGTGGCTTGTTCTGGTGTTCAGGAAGCCCCCTTTCCCACCTAAGTTCTCAAACTGTTGAGCGATTAGATACCTAAGGGAGGTGGGAGGTGAATATCACTTTACAGTGGTATCAACTAGACTGATGAGTGTAGCCTTGTTTGAGAGGCAAATGAGCTTGCTAACTGGATGTCAAAATTAGACACGTTTACTTAACCACTTACAGAAAATGCTGGACCACTTTAGGTCTCTCTGAAAAGGGCAGGACTTTCAGTGCTCAGCTTGTAGCCCAGAGGAGTCACTAGAAGGTATAAGCATTAACGTGCTTGCCTACTGACTGAAAGGTGGGAAGTCTGAGCCCACCCAGAGATGCCTTGGAAGGAAGGCCTGGCGGTCTCCTTCCAAGAGAAGCTATGACAGCCGTCTGGAGCACAATTGTGCTCTGGCACACATGGGGTCACCGTGGGTTGGAATCAACTCCGTAGCCATTGGTTTTGTTTTCTTAAAGCAGAGAAAGCTTACTGTGGATAGGCATTCAGGTTTCTAAGTTGGAAGGAGGGCGTTGCTGAGCGAAGCATGTCCAGCTTACTCTTTTCACTTTTACCAGTCAAAGAAGTTACTTCACTTTCTTGAGAATGAGTAAAGAGGTGGAGAGAGACTAGCAATTGTGTTAATTTAACTTCATTGTAATGGAACGAGACATGAGGAGTAGGGGGGAAATAGTTCTCCTGACAGTCTAAGTTGCACATTTTTTTTTTTTCACATTCTTAACTCTTTGCAGTTAGAGTTTATCTTAAGTCAGTGGCCTCTTAATGACTGTCAGCTGGAAGACAGTCATGATGAGTGACTTGGAATGGGTGAGCCTGCTTGCTATGCCTTGTGCCTTGACCCTTACGTGTTTCACTTAATTAACCACTTACAGACTGTTTGAGGAAGAACTGTGCATCCAGATAGTATCAGAAGGCCTGAGAGTATCACAGTACTGGTAGTGTGAGGAGTATAGGTCCTGATAGTTTCAAGAAAGCACCAACATTAAATCTTGCCGAATGACTGTCAGGATCTTTTTTGTTTTGTTTTGTTTCATGACATTGACTGCAATTCCCCACAATGTAACAGCTCTCTTCCCACTTCCTCCCCTTAGTTACCTCTTCCCTGTGTCATTCCCTCCCATGCACTCCCACCCCTTGAGCTGTCTCCCGGTACACACACTGCCCTTCTGTTCTCCCACAATTGATTGCTTTGAGGCTGTATCTACCTGATGTAAATGCTCCTCCCATACGCCTGTCTGTTGTTTGGCTGGAAGTCACAGAAGTGACTTTGTTTCTAGACCTGAAGGGTAGCTATGGGCCACAGTCTCAAGGGTCTTAGCAGGTTTTATCAGACTAGCAAACCTGGTCTCTCTTTTTTTTTTTTTTTTTTTTATGATTTTGAGTTTTGTTTCACATGGTTGATAGTGGTAGCCAGCCACCATCTAGTTCTTCTGTTCTCAAGGTCATACAGGCTGAGGATAGCATGGTCTGCTAGTCCCTTGGAGTAATTGTTTCCATGTGTCTTCTTTGCTCTTCTTTGCTCTGCAGGAGGAAAGACCCATCATTTCATTTAGATGGCTGCTTGCAAGCTTTTAAGACCCCAGTCACTACTCACCAAAGTAGGATGTGGAACATTGTTTTTGTGTAGTATGTGAGGCCAGTTGAGCTTGATGTCCCCTGAGACCATGGTCCCAAGCCCACAGGTCCAACTGCTTGCTCCCTCAGGGTTGCTGGCTGTGGCCAAGAAGCTGCCACAACCTTGCCCCTTGGCTCTACTATACATTCTGACATTCTTACTGCACATACAAATGCGCACGTAGAAACATCGTCTGTCAATGCTATACATGGTCATGGGTACACTCCCCTTGCCTAGACATTCCTATATCTTACAATCAGCGAAGTCTTAAATTTGATGAAATCTAGTCAGGTTTATATGGGTCTCTGTTCCAACCTTTACAACACTGGACAGCTTTGAATGTCTTCCTTCCTCTGGAAGTTTCATGTACATTACACAGATGCTAGGGCATCAAACTTTTCACCTCCACTGACTTATATCCTTGTGGTTGCTTTAAATGTGCCGTTATTCTTACCGTGCGTCATGATCACTCTCCAGAGAGAAGATGCTAATCTGTTTATTCAAGTGGGGAAGACTGGATCAGGCGATTCAAAATAAGCTTGTAGATATGGAAGGCAATTGTTTTCAGGCAAAAGGCAAAGTTCCAGTGAGTTAAATGTTTTATTTTTTCCTTTTTCTAAAAGGGGGTCCTGATGACAACTTAATTGAAGGGGGAGGAACAAAATTTGTCTGCAAACCTGGAGCCAGGAACATTACTGTTATATTCCATCCATTACTAAGGTAAGTCGGATCCCCTGATGTACTTCCTGAAGATCAATGCTTCCGTTATTTATGTGGACGTACTGCCTGCCAGTAGGTCGGTCAGCATTGACACAGTCATCGGAAGACTTGGTCCATTTCCTGGGCTTCACTAGCAAAGTTGGATGATCAATAGAACAGATGAAGCCAGCCACACTAAGTAGCTGCTGGGTCTCAGGAGTCAAAGGCCCTAAATGCTTTTGTTTCCTTTCTGTCTGTCATTCTCTCTCTCTTGCTTTCTCTCTCTCACTCTTGCTCCCTTCCTCCCTTGCTCTTGGCCTCCCTTCTTTCCTCTCCCCCACCCTCCTCATTCTCCTTTCCCCTCTTCCCCCACTGTCCTCCGCTAACCTCCCTTCCCCTTCCCTTCCCTTCCCTTTTCTTCCCTCTTTATCTGTCTCAGAATTGGCCAACAATAGCCCGCGGGAGAAATCTAGCTGGTACCTGGTTTTTGGTTTTTTTTATACATAAAGTTTTATTGAAGCACAGTTAGTTTACCGTTTACATATTGCCCATGGCAGCTTTCGTGCTACGACAGCAGAGTCCAGTAGTTGCAACAGAACCCATATGGCTCCCAAAGCCTAAAATGTTTGCTCTCTGGTACTTTACAGAAGAAAATTACAAACCCCTGACCTACGTCATTTCTACTAATGACTGAGATATCCATTGAGAATTGGCAGTTCTCTGAGCAAACATGACTTATAAAAGCTGAAATACATTTTATCAATCAAATACATGGTATGATATACAGAATAGGAACTTGATGGCTAAATAAAATCTATTAGAATGTTAGTTTATTGTGATGCTGTGATTGTAGCAAAGTAAGAACCCATGATAGTTTGATTGAAAACAATTCTAAGCTCTGCATACCTTGTAAAAGGTACTACTGATTAGACGCAGGCACCTACTATCATAGTAATTACATGTTTTCTGTGAAATGAACCAGTATATTTTTGTTGTAATTTCATAGAATGAGCCAGAAACTCCTAAGTAAAATAAAAGCTCTGTGTGTGAAAACATTACTGAATTTTCCAGAGACAGCATTATATGTACTTTCATAAAATATAAGCAGTTTATTGCTGGAATTATCCTACCTTCTTATAAAGCAACTTTTATTAAATTACTGTCAGAGGTCTGTTTAGGTAACCAGTTATTTGAATTGTATTGCTTTATTTCCCCTAATTGGCTTTAAATGCAAAACTTAAACGCAAATAAAATACAAGAAAAAATAGAGATTGTGAAAGAAAGTTTATAATCTTAAAAAGAGAAAAAGTCTGTTTTTGCAAGCATTTGCAGCTTCTGAATCATTTTGGTATCATGGAATTAAGAGAATCGGGACTATTTCTAGGTTTGGTTGACACACACACTCCCCTAATAGGTCAATTACAGCCTATGGAACTTCTAGATTATAAATACACACAGAGAGCTTGGTAATTAGTTTGGTGCTCACTCTCTTCTCCAGTTACAATTGATTTCTACTTAGTTAGTGCTGCTAATTGTTAGGGAAATGGGAAAGTACCTTAATCATTATAGGCATCTTCTAACCTGGATTTAACCCCATAATTCACTGCTGTCTTCACCACGGTTTGGGTGCGTGGAATCCTCTGCTTACATTTGTTCCCAAGTGTATATGGGAGGAATCCTTTGGAAGCTTTTTAGCAGTTTTGTCAGTAACTACTTTGAGAGAATTTGTCACATAGAAAATTTTTTTTTGTCTTTTCAAGGACAAGTCAGGAGAATGAAATTTGTGTGTGTGTGTTGCCTGTATCAGTACTTATTTCACTCATACAAACATGTTTCTCCATGTATCACTTAAATGCAAATCATCTTTTATCTACTTTTTGAAACACTTTATCGTGGTTTGGGTGAAAGTTTATAAAGCAAATCAGTTTCCCATTCGGCAGTGAGTACATTTTGTGTCGTGACCTTGGTTGCCGTCTCCTCAGAGTACCAGCGCTCTCCCCACTGCCTCGCTGGGTTCCCCGCTTCTGTGTGGCCTTCTCTCCTGCCCTCTGAGCTTGGTTTTCCGGCAGATGCTGCCCTTTTGGTCTCGTGTGGTTGATTGCTCTGAGGAATACCTTCCTTACATGTGGTGTTCACTTCATAAGCCTGCCTATTGTTTGCCTGAAAAGTGATCTCTAGGGGTGGGTTCAATTCCAGGTTTGTAGGGTGTCTAAGGGGCCATATCCTTGGGGTTCTACTAGGCTCTGTGAGACCAGTAAGTCTGGTCTTTTTTACGATTTTTAATTTTGTTCTAACTCTTTCTCCCACTCTGTCCAGGCCCTTCTCTTGTGATCTTGGGCAGGGTGCTTGACTGCAGCTGGGCACCATCTAGTTCTTTTGGTCTCAGGGTCTTGGAGGCTGTGCTTCACCTGGTCCATTAGTGCTTTGGAGCAATCGTTTCCTTGAGTCTTCAATTTTCTTTACTCTTCCTTGTCCCGGATAGGGAGACACCGATAATTGCATAGGGGACTGCTCACGAGCTTTTCAGACCCTAGTTGCTACTCAGGGTGCCACTCACCGAAATGGGACACGGCACATTGTGTTTGTGGACTGTGCGAATGCATTTGACCTACATGACCCCAAGACTACGGTCCCAAGAGCCCAAGCCCAGTGTCTCAGTCCTTAAAGGTGTTTGGCTAAGTTGTTTTTGTACTTTGCCCCCTGTATGCTGTACTATACACATGGATGTATTTACAGTACATACCAACACTTTGTTGTTGTTGTTGTTATGTGCCGTTGAGTCGGCCCCGACTCATAGCGACCCCTCCTTGAGTTTCCGAGGCAGTATCACTACAGAAGTAGGATTGCCCAACCTTCCTTC